GTTTTTTTTTTGCAATATTTTAGAAGCTCTAGCAAAGAAACAAAAGGCGATATTAGGCTTAAATTAAAGCTAGAAGTCTCCCTTATATATATGACTTATAGTCATTTATTGAAAAGCAAGACCTGATAGTGCCTTCCACTTAGGCTCAAATTAAGGCTTGAACTTACGACTACAATCTTGTAAAATACCGTCCCTGAACCTTAACCCAGGTCACTTATAATTATTTATTTAACAGCAAAAACTGATTTTGCCAAAATTTTATTTTTATTTTTAATAGCACAGTATTCCAGTATTTTTATATTGTTCAATAAATGACTATTAGTGACCAGCAGGTCAAGGTGCAAGGGGGCATAGTATTTTCAGGGATGGTAGCCGAGAGTTATAGCTTTAATTCAAGCCTAAGTGGAATGTTCTATCACCTTTTGTCCTTACCACTTCACTGACGGATCTCCCTTGCTTTAACAAAGACGTGGCCGCCTTATGTAAGTAGGAATTTAGAATGTATATACATTTGGTATCAGGCATACTTCTGAGCCGCTTTACAAAGTTCGGCGCTTGGAAATAACTTCGGCTGCACGTTATTTTGCACCTGACAACGTAATGCGTCGGCGGAGGTGTTCATTTTGTGCTTTACTAGTAAATGTCATTGGTCATGATGACAATTTTGATACTTAAAACTGAAATAAAGCAAGGCTTACCTCGTAAGGTGCTTAGCTATTTTCCCATTGGGACACTACAATATTTCTCCTACAAATTTTTAAAGTGATTACTAATTAATTGTTTTCTAATATTACTCGTACTATTTTGGTTAATTGAAATAGATGGCATATTTAAAACTTCGTTTATGTGAGCGCGAATTTCTTCTGAAATAGCTGGCGCATCAATTTCGTTATGTAGATTACAAATATTGTGGAGAACCACTGTTGCCACAATAATGCTTTCTACACTCTGGGTATTCAGCCTTATACCCACCGAAAGAACCGGATCGTTCGGCGCAGTTTCTCGTTCGAATCTCAGATTCGTTATATAGCGCCTCTGCCGGATTACGAACATTGGATATTGGTGTCATTATCCACTGATTACAGGGATAACCGCTGTCTGCAACAACCAATGAATTTCCGAATGCGCCCCCTTCGAAGCGACTATAAACGCGCGAGTTTCGAAGTATTGTGGCATCGTGTGTGGAACCAGGCCATCTAGCTACTACATCCAATATATTTAAGTCGCTGTCGCATAAAGTCTGTACGTTGTACGAAAATAACACTTTTCTGTTTTCGGTATCACTCCTATTTTCACAACGATCTCGGGTTTCTGTACCAAAAACGCGTTACGCAAATCAAAAAACTTTTACACACGCTTCTAGACAAAAGTCTGCAGTTTAAAAAAAAAAAATCACTATATCTGTGCACACATTTTTTAATAAGTTCGGTTTGAAATATGGGTTGGTTGAAAAACAGGTTGGCGCATCCCTTATAGACCGTGGACGTCGCATTATAATGATGCGATCTAGAACCTTGCATTCCATGTAACTTTCGTCACTCGAACTCATTTTAATAATATTTAAATGGAACCACTTTTACCTTTTATTTACTTATTTATATTTTATTTTGAGTAATCAGCTGCTGTTTAGTCGAGAAGCAGGGTTGCATTTTCTATATTTAAATAACCTGGGTAAAAGATTGTCGTAAGCGCCATTTTGACGATTTTTAGTTATAGATGCAGTTTTCAGATATCTCCTTTAGTTTCCGAGATATTTACTACAATTTTTTCGATAATTTAGTAAAAATTTAGTTAGTGATGCAGCCATATTAAACTAATCAATATCTTAAAAATGACGTTCTCCATTTTTGGATATCTCCTTTAGTTTGCGATATACTTGTTAAAAAGTGTAGTAAATTTAGTAGACATTTTGAACACATTTTGTCGTATTTCATACAAAGTGGCTGCTAAATTGTGGACAAATGACGCTTACGACATAATTTTACTAAAGAAAATCCTTCATAAACTCAAATCTAATTAACGTTTAACATTAAAAATTAAATAATTTAAGAATTTTGTGAACTAGTAACATTTTCAGAGACTTTGGAGAATATATATCTTCGCGTTTTTGAGAAATTGCATTCAAAACTTCAATCGCGACTTCCCACAACCTGCCGAAATCAACATACGACAATCTTTTA